GTGTATCTTAGGTTTCCCCGCGTGTCGGCCAACTTGGGCCAAATTCCAGGCCTGACTTGCTGGGCGAGTGGTGAGCTCCCATGTAGAGGCCCAAGGTCAGGCCGCTCTTTGGGGCAGAGGGGAAGCGCTCTGGACAGGAAGATGAAAGGGCTGCTGTGCTTGAAGAAATGACCTCGGACCACGGTGCTGCTTGGCCTCTTGCCCTGAGCCTGCCCTAGGCGGGGTGCCCTTGCCCCCGCTCCCCCCCAAACCCCAGATCAAGGCCCTCCTGCAACCGGGACTTTGATGTAGTCTGCTAAGCCTGGCCATGTCTTCCCTTCCTCTTCACATTTACCTGCAACCCAGCCACACAGGCCCCTCTTACGCTGCCTGTCCCAGCTGCTGTCTTCCCAAGCTTGTCGCCTCTGCCCTGGACTCCCAGCATGATTTGCTGAACTTGGACGAAGGGTGGCAGTGGTGGGAGGTGGGCTTGAGGGCAAAGACCTCTATCCAATTGACTGTTGCGTCTTCAGGGTAGGAACGGGAAAGGCAGCCCTACAGGTGCGTTCAGACACAGGGTCCATTCCTGCAGCCTGCCTCACCATACCCTTGTGGAAACGCTGGTCCATGTGTGCACCTGCTATGTTCTGTATACTTATGTTCTGCTCCCCTAGCCCTCTCAAATTCCTCCCTGTGGGAGGCTGAGTCGTCACGGGAGGAGTTGATGCGTGATAACCGAAGCCTTGGAGAGACCCCTTGCCTCTTGGGCACAGCCAGCAGTGCCATCCATGAGTCAGAAAGCAGGCCCTCAGCAGACACTAAATCTTGGTCTTGAACTTCTCAGCCTACAGAATACAGAAGAGCAGGCTTCTGCTCTTCACAAGCCACCCAGCCTAGGACATTTTGTTATAGCAGCCTGGATATGCCAAGACCCTACACTCAGCGCTTGGCCTGCCATGAAGTGAAAGGCGGCCTGTGTGGGCCCAGCTCCCAGAAGGGCCTGGCCAGGTATCAGTCTCCTAGCATGCGTCCCTTTTAGAGGGAGCTGTCCGAGGGAACAAGGATTCTAGCTTCTCAGTTCATCAGCACTTTCTGTCAGAGAAACACCCAGCCAACACCAGCCCCTGCTTTGTGTACAGAATCTCAGGGTTAAGCCACGTCTTTCTTCAGAGTGTAGGAGGATGCCATGTGTCTCTGCATAGGAGCTGTGGAGCCTAGAGAAACTGGGAAACTATGATGGAGCACCACTGCCACTCACTGTCACCAGCAGTCCTAAGGCACACAACATCTTGTGGGCCCGGCCAGTGAAGACTGTCTTCCAGCAAACAACACCACATCTAGGGGGTCAAATGTTTGCATCTGGAGCAGCAGGGACAGAGGCAACCAGGACAGAGCCTGACCCACAGGTCGAGTAGTTCACCTCCTACCCTGAGCCTGTATAGTCTCTAGACACCTGCTAGACAAGAGGTTCAACAAGGTCACATGGCCAAAGTGCTTGGGGGTTATAGAACCCTCAGTAGGTGCTCAGTGATGCCCACTCCTGGGCCTCTTGGGAGCCGGGAGATGTGTTAATCCACCTTGCCAGCAGGGGGCCTCAGTGCTTTAGGCCAGCTATGGGCATGGGTGGTTATGGGCAATTGGGCCAGACAGAAAGTCTTGGGGTAGGCACCGGGAGCTCTCTGAGTTCAGGCCTGCACCCAGCTTGCTCTTCCATGAATGAGGGTGAAGATATCCGACTTCCTTGTGTTTTTGTTCAGGGGAAGAAAAGTCTACAGGCCCAGCTAAACCAAGACAAGAGCGCAAACTTGGATTGGGAAGATTGCTGATGGGGCCATACAGGGTGTGGCAATTGATTGTCTTGAACACGGCCTTTATTGAACATTTGCTTTGTCGCTTTTATTTGAAAGGCAGAGGGAGTGAAAGAGGCAGAGAGCAATCTCCCATCCACTGGTCCACAACCTCCAAATGATGCCGGCAGTCATCTGGGCTGGGCCAGACCAAAGCCGGGACCCAGGATATCCATCCAGATGCCCAAGGAGAGTGCCAGGGGCTAAGGGCTGCCCCACTCCCCGGGGTGTGCATAGCAAAGCAGAGTGGGGACTCAAACCGAGGCCAGTGAGAGCTCCTCAGTGTCTCGGAGCCTGTACTAATCTCCATCAAACGGGAGTCACCTCATCAGCCTTAGACACAAACCGCACCTGCTACTATTTATAGGCATGTCTTTCCCTGAACACGTCCCTCTCTTGCAATCTGCTCATCCCCTCCTCCTTCCCACAACCCGGCAGTGACCTCTTGCCTGCAGCGCGCTGGTACAGCAACCACCAATCTCCAGTTTCTGCCCTGAGAAATGCTGTGCAGTTGACAGTAACCAGATTCACCACACCGATACCCATATTCACACCCACTACACTGCTAGGAAGACAGAGGGATGCTACGATCAGTTTTTATTGCCTGAGCTTGCTGTGTCATACCCTGCTGGCTGTTGAAGTATGATACAGGCCGAGGATGAAGACTACTACCATTTCTTTCTCTTCCTCCTCTTCTTCTAAAAGTATGTATTTATTTTATTTGAGAAGGGGAGAGAGATTTCTTTCATCAGCTGGTTCAGTCTCCTAATGCCTGCCAAGAGCCAGGGCTGGGCCAGGCTGAAGCCAGGGACCAGGAGTTCCATCCAGGTCTCCCATGGGGGTGGCAAGAACCCAAACACTTGGGCCATCCTCTGCTGTCTCCTGCATACATCAGTGGGAAGCTGGATCGGACCCAGAGGCAGGGCATGCCCCCAGGCATTCTGCCATGGGACATGGGTGCCCCCAAGGGGTGGCAGGCTAATCCACTGCACCACAACACCTGCCCCCAGGACTTCTTACAAATATAAGCCACTTAAATCATCCACAAACCATCCAGAGTTCCTGGGGAAACTCTCAACAATGTCCTTCATGGTCAAGGTGGGTCACTCTGTCCTCCTGGGGTAGAAGGCACAAGCAGTGCACAGCCACCCCTGCACCTGTCTGAGCTTTCCTGAATACCTCCCAGGGACCACATCCTGTGTCAGGTGGGGATGGGACAGACTGGCGGGAGTGGGGTGCCCCAAAGAGAAGACAGCTTGCCTGACCAGGAAGATAAACCTCAAATGGAGGCAGAGAGGGGGAGCTCCAGGTGGAATGGTGGGGAGCAGCAGTTCCCAGAGACACGTGACCTTGCTCAGGATGTCTTCCAAATTTGTCAGCCACCTCTTTGAGAGACTCCTTTTCCCAGGAGGGCTGGAGCTGTGGCCCAGCTTCACAGAGGGGCCGGCAGGTGAGGGACTGAGCCATAAAGCCTGAGAAGCAGGAAGCAGGCAGCAAGCCCTGAAGGGCAGGCAGAAGTAGTACTGGATTGATCAGATCTCGGGATTCTTACTATGATATGAACTGCTGGGGGTCATCACCCTCCAGCTGGCTGTGGCTACCTTGCCTTGGGCTGGTCCCCATAGCATCCTGGGAGGAAGGAGCAATACTGCCCAGGTGCCAACGGTAGGCTATGAGATGTCCAGGGTTGATGAGATGCTGGCTCCAAGGACACCGACACAGCCGCAGTAGCTTTCAAATCCTGGGTTCCCGTCCATCCATGGCTAAAATGGCCAGTTCAAGGGCATGGGTTTTGCCTTAGAAAGTGCGTTCAGAATTTACTTCTCCCCTTAGGCTCTGGGAAGGACAAAGGGCTGTCTTGAGGGAGAGTGTGAGGGTTCCATTTGAGAGATGGAGACACCTGCTCCAGCAGCAGGGGAAGCCCCGAACAGGGTGTGGCAGTGGGAGATGGAGGGCTGGGGGCCGGCTGCAGGCACAGAGCTTCTTTCCCTGTTGGCAGGTCCTGGGCAGGTGGCAGAGTTTATGCCTTGGCATCTGTAGCAGAAAATTCAGCAATAACACTGTGAGCATTAAACCCCACAGGCAACTCCTGATGTGTGATCCTGGCTTTGAAATCCAGGAAAAATAAGGTGAGTGAGTTTGGAACTCCAATGTCCCAAGCTAGAGTATCTGAGTTCAAGTTCCCACTCCACTTCCAGTGCCAGCTTCCTGCTAATGCTCACCCTGGGTGACAGCAGGGATGAGCTGGAGTTCTGGCTTAGCTGCTGAAGGCATCTGGGGAGTGGCCCAGAAGGCGAAAGAGCTCCTGTCTGCCTTGCAGAGAAATTTTTAAAAATTTCCTTTTTAATAATATTTTTTAAACTGCAGTACAGGAAAGTGGAGAGGGAAGCCAAATAAACAAAAACCCAGCAGTCAACAAAGGACATTGTTGGGGGGTGGGGGGAGGAAGAAGGTGTGGTCTCATCAGACACTGTCAAAGCAAAAAGTTTCCCACTCCCAATGAGAGAAATTTCTCCCCGTGTTCCCTCTTGCAGTGCCGGTGATTCAACTCAGGACGCCCCTGGCCCTGCACACAGCATCCCCTTGCCTGCGTCGCCCCCATTGCCAGCGGGGCGCGGGTTGCACCGGCCCTTTCGTTCCCCAACCCAGCGTGGGTCGGGAGAGCGCAAGACAGGGTCAGCCACCAGAGCCCGGGTCGCCGCGGCGCCTGTAAACCGCGCCGCCTGCAGCGCCAGTGGGAACTGGACACCGATCCCATCGTGCGCCTGAAAGAGCAGTCCGTACCCTGGAACACATCTGGAGCAAGGAGGAAGGACATCCCATGGGTGCCAGGGTGGGGCTCAGGTATTGATGGCAACGGTCATTCTTCAGAGGTAGTCATCACCTGCGAAGCGTAGGAGGCGCCTGGACAAGCGGCTTGGTCTAGCTGCTCAGGAGGTGGCACCCAGGGGTGGGATGCGGGAGTCAGGCTCCCACCCAACCCTGGCTGTGTGTGCTAGAGGGCGGCTCCGGCACAGCGCCCAAGCCAGGTCCCTCGGGGTGTGGGGTGGAGGGCGGAGACCCGGGCTGGCGGACCGGGCTCCTCCCTCCTCTGCCCCGGGCTCTCTCCTGCTCTTAACCCGCGCGCAGGGGGCGCCCGGGCCACTGGGCTCCGCGGAGCAAGCGAGCTAGCAAGCGGTCATCGCCGAGCCAGAGCGGGTGACGCCGGCATGGCCCCCGCAGCGACGTCGGGTGGCAGCAGCCTGCCCAGTGGCTTCTCCGTCTTCATCACTTTCCCCGATTTGCTCTTCATCTTTGAGTTTGTGAGTGGCTTGCGCGGGAGTGCCGGGAAAGGGATGGCTGAGCGGTGCGTTCTTGCCGGGGGGCTTTGCACCACTATGGGGCAGAAGCCTCAAGGTACCTGGGTTTCTATCAAGGACCGGGGTCTGGGGAAGAAGGGACTGCTCCCGGAAACCCCACCGCCCAGCACACATGCACCTGCCGTTTGTCCTCTCCTGGAGCCAGGACCAGGAGGTAAACAGGTGGTCAGAAGTTGGAAGTGGCCAGCGGGCTGGAGCCTGGGAGCTCTCTTTCCCAAACTGGGCGAAACAGCTCACACCCCGACCCCGCGACAGGCCCTCTAGCCGAGTCTTTGTGGAAGGTGCTGGCATTTCTTAGACTAGGGAAGGAGGGATGTTCGTTTAAAAGGGAAAACAAACAAATAAACACAAAACCAGCAAAGGAAACTGGTTTGGAGATTGGAAGGAGCTGGATCTCGGTGGCTCGGTTCTGGCCAGTATTCAGCACAAACTTGATCTAGCAACCAGAAAAGAGGCCACCTCGTCGGCGCCGCTGCGAGGATTGGGCCCTGAGTGGAGGCTGGCAGACAGCGGAGGGAGCAAGGGAGCTGGCGGGAGGGGTCCACGTTCCTTGGCTGTTCCGAGATCTCTGCACCTGCGGCTGCTGCGAAGCCTCTCCTAATGCCGGCTCCTGGTCAAGGGCTTCATGGATTGCTTGGCTTTCGACCCTCCCCCCTCATTCCCCAGGGGGCCACCTAGAAGGGTGTGGTGCTTCATTTACCGGGTGTGGTGTGTCCAGGCCAAGGGAAGACTTTGTTTTGTGTCAGTCCCTAGTTAGATGCAGTGAGCTGGCGAGAACTGTGTGAAAGAAAATGTTGGAAACTTTTTCAAAGGCAGGACCCAAGATCCTAAGGTCTGGGAAATACAGGTCAAAGAATGACAAGAAGGGAGCTAACTGCCCCTCTGAAGGGTTCTGGGGAAAGGAAAATAGGGGTCCACAGCTGCAGCATAGCGGGGTATCTTTGAACCTGCATGGAGAGAGAGCAGCCCAAACCAAGCATCTCCAGAGTGCCTTCAAGCCCTGCAGAGAACTAGAATCAAAGACACTGCGGGCTGGCTCCAACACTGACACACAGCAGGGACTTGCCTGAGGTCTGTCCTCTGTTCAGCTCGGTCACTTGTCTTTGCTTAGTCCAAGGCCAAGATTGCCAGGCAAAACTGTCTTAGCCCAGGAACCAGTGGGCTGAGCTTGATCCAGGCAGTGACAGGTGCAGGAATTCCACAGAACCGGCCTTTATCCGAGAACACCTCCAGATAGCTCCTCTCCCCACACAGCTCTCCTGAGCATTTCTTTTGATCACTTCTTAGCCTGTTTAAACTCAAGATTGGGCTTCCAAAATTGACCGTGGAAAGGAGAGAGTTTCCCAACTCAAAGAGGTTGTGTAGGTGCAATGGACTGAGACCAAAAACAAAGAAAAAAAAAAAAACTTAGGGTCTCTTAAAGTGCCTTAAGGATTTAGCCTCCCCCTGCTGCTATTTGGGAAGTGTCAAAAACTCAAGGGGCTTGCTGCTTTAGCAAAGCACTCCAGGGCAGGAACAATCTCTTGCCCTCAAGGCAGCCAGACTCAGCAGGGCTAGGGATCGGCTTGAGCTTCCCTGAAGGGCCAGTCTGCTGCTGTTCTCTCTGCCTTCTCATAGTAGTTTAGCAGGGGAAGGAGTGGCCCTGAGGGTGAGAACAGACCCGTGGGACAAAAAACAACAGGATCCCATTCAACCCACTCTCCTTTTCAGAGAGAGTCAGGAGGGTGGGAAATCTCCCCACCACCGGTTTTGTGACTTGTGGTAGTAGAAAATTCTAGAACTAGTTGCTCTTTCGGGAACCCCTTACTTTCCTTACTTGTTTTTTCTTCCCACCTCAACCTTTGCTCCCCAGCCTCCCATCTGCTGAGAGTCCTGGATGCCAGGTTTCTTGTCTCTGAATTTCCTCCTCTCCAGATTGGGGATGGCTCCCTAAGTGCCTGGGACACAAGGAAAGGAAGCAGACACGAGTCTTTTCGGCACTCCTCTGTGTGGACTATAAATACCAGGTGGGGCTGTCCCTGCTGTGTTGTGCACAGGAGTGTAGATTCAAGGGCAGAAGAGGCGCTGGCCACTTCCGGGAAGGGTTCTTTACAGTAGTGGAATCTTACATCTCAACAACCAAGACAAACCACTCACTGGAAAACTGGCAAAGGTCTTGAACAGATATTCCCCCAACAAAAATATGCAGATGGCCAACAAGCACATAAAGATTGTCAACACATCATGAATCATTAGGAAAATGAAATCAAAATCCAAATGAGCTTCCACTTCCCACCTACCAGGATGGCTATTTTTTTTTTAATGGAAAGTAACAAATGTTGGCCCAAATGTGGAGAAGTAGGAATGCCAGTATGTGGCTGGTGGGAATGTGAAATGGGCGGTTCAGTTGCTATGGAAAACAGTGTGGTCATCCCTCCAAAAATTTATGCTGTGAGCCAACAATTTCCCTGGGAAGTCAAGAAAGAGAAGATTCCAAGCAGGGACCCAAGTGAGTTCGTGTACATATGTGTTGGTAGCAGCACCATTCCCAACAAGCAAGAGCGAAGCAGCCCAAGTGTCCAGCAACAGCTGAATTGGCTAAACAAGATGTCCTATACCCATCCCTTGGAGTATTTAGTCAGAGAAGGGAATGAAGTACTAGGACACACTGCAACAGTTGATAAACCATGTGCAGTGCATACTCAGGGAAAGACAAGGTCACACAGTGAATGGCTCTGTTTATTTAGAAAATCCAAAATAGGTCAATTAGTAGACACGGAACTCCTCCCTGGGGCTTGCCAGAGACTGAAGGAGGAGGCAGTGGGGACCAGGTGCTGGCTGCACACAGAGTTTCCTCATGGTGGAGATAGTGGGTGCCCAGCATGATGAATGTATGAAAGGCCCCTGGCCTGGTCCATTGGAAATCTTTTTTAAAAAACAGAGCGGGTATTTGGTCTAAAGATTAGTATACCTGCGTCCTGCATTGGTATGTGTGATGTGTGGGCCCAGTACCCGTCTTAGGCTCCTGGCTCCTGACTCCGGCTGCCTTTTAGTGCAGTCCCTGCAAGGCAGCAAGCAATAAGTAGTCAGGTTCCTGCCACCCATGGAGGAACCAATATTGAGCTCCAGCTGCTGGCCCTGGCCCTGACCCAGGCCAGCTCAACTGAGTATTTGAGGAGTGAACTAGCAGATAGTTTTCTGCCTCTCAAAATTTAAAAAAAGAAAGAAAGAAAAATGTCAAATCCTATACCAGAGTAATGCATTCAAAAAGGCGGTGGAAAGTGAAATTCAAAAGATAAATGTGTTTTGGTGCCAGATACTTGTTGAGATCCATGCATAGTTTCAGTTCTCTTGTAATTTACATCGTCTCTGAATTTTGAAAAATCAGTAACACTTTCTTGGGCAGCCACATAATTATGCTGAAATTTGTCAAATCTTAACATGTTGACTTACTTGCCATTTAGCGTTAAGAAAGTAAGTTTTTTGGCTTGACACCTAAGACCCTTGAGTGTCCTGTCACTCTGTTGTACTCTTTGCCTCTGGACTTAGGGCGGACCCCTCTGCCATTGCACCTGCAACCCCAAACCTTGCAGGGCGCAGTCTGTTGTACCTCCAGGGAAGACTGGATTTTCTGGGTCCTGGGGCGTGTACATCTTGGCTTTCTAAACCCCCACTGTCCCATTCATACATCCCAACCGAGGTTTACCAGGAAACTGAAAATATCAGGTTATGCTTGGGATACCCACTGACTGGGGCCACTTCCAAGATTTTACCTTGATGTTTTATTAGAATAAGCTTCAAGCCACCAGCAGCATATGAAAGTCCCCCATTGATCTTCATCCTTGCCACTCTTGATAGCACCAGGCTTGGTAATTTTCTGCTCCTCCAATGGGTGTGAAATGGCTGATTACTTGTTAAATCTTAGTCCAGTGGGTAGATGGTGACTCAACGTTCAGTTTCCCATGGCTGACCTCCCAGCAGCCTGGGAGGTGCCACTGCCCAGGAGTGATCAGCAGGGTGGGACTAGATGCCACTCCTATGGCAGGGGCAGCTGCCCTGTGGAACAAGGACTAGTGGCAGCTCTGGGTGGGGCCTGACAAACTCACCTTAGCCCAAAGTCCCCATCCCACAGCTCCTTAGGTCTGAAAGCTTGGGGACAGGATGTGGTCGTGGTGGGTGGGAGCTGCTCACGGGATGCAGAAGTGGCAGCATGCCCCTGGGCACACACCTGCAGCAGGTAATGGGCCCCAGGTTTATCCTTTGCCCCACCGTAAAGGCCTTGGAAATGGAACAATCAAAATATGCTTCCCTCCTCCCATAACTGCTCAAGGATTTTGGTTTTGGTCTAATCCTTATAAAAATAGCTCCACCCATGGAGGAACTTCTCTCTTGGAAACCACAGTGTGTGTTTCCTCCTCCTCCTCTCTCCTGAGCCAGCGGCTTCGTCCCCTGGTACCCCCATTCTGCGTGCAGGGCGTTGGCATGGGATTCTTGCTTGTGTGGGCTGTGGCCAAGGCTAGAAAGCCAGCAGGAGAGACCAACTGCCCCAGCCATCCAACCCCCTTCAAGCCTTACACAGGGAGTTCCTGAGAAGGCTCTTGAAATCATTAACCCACCTGTCTGCTTCTCCAGCGCCCCTCTCGCCAGCCCCAAGCTATGGAGCCAGAGGAGGAAAAAAATAAATGGTTGAGAATTCAAAATGGTTGAGAATTCAGAGAATAAATGTCTAGGGTGGAAATGTCGTAGGAATGCCTGGGGCCTCCAGGTGCAGGGGTTGCCTTCTCTGTGTGTGTGTGGCTCAGCAGGTGGGCAGAAGGACAGGGCAGCTGGTGATGGCAGCACTTTGAGGGGCCATGTTGTGGGTGAGGACGGGGTATGTTTGCAGTTTCAATTCCTGCAGTGGAGTAGATACAGCCATAACTAAAATTTGACATACTTCCTGTGACTCAAAATTACCAGAGACT